TAAGAGTTGTATGAGCCCCTAATAAAATGATTAAAATATAGATATATCATGGCTTGAGTCAGGTGCACTTTAGCCCTCAAAATGACATCCTTGCTTTTAAACAGCTTAAAAAGGTCTTGAAAAACAGATTAGCCCAAGGCGATAAATCCTTTGATTTCTTGACTGCTGCTTCCATGAGCTTTGGTTGCCCATCCGAGCAAAATTAAACCCTTGACAACTCCTTTTATCATGATGTTGCCTCTTGGTCCAGTTGTGAGGAGTTTTGTTTTGTTTCTTAGGAGTTTTGTTTTCGTTACATTCAGTGGCAATCCATACTTCAGGCTGTAGTCCTTGATCTTCATCAGCAAGGGCTTCAAAGTCTCGTTGCTTGCACTTCCGTGCACCCGGGCAGGCTCCCAGGTCACTGTTCATAAGCCTTCCTCCACTCCTGACACCACTTTCTTCCTCCTAGTCCAACTTCTCAGCTTTTGCTCACTGTATACATTGAATAAGTATGGGAAAAGGATCCAGCCCTGACGCACATCTTTCCTGATTTTACACCATAGTATTTGCTTGTTCTGTTCCAGTGACCGTCTCTTTGTCCATGAACAGGTTCCACGTGAGCACAATGAAATGTTCTGGAATTCCCATTCATCTCGATGTTATCCATAGTTTTTATGATCCACACAGTCAGATTCTTTTGCATAGTCAATAAAACACAAGTAAGCATCTTTCTGATAATCTCTGCTTTCAGCAAAGATACATCTCATGTTAGCAACGATATCCCTCATTCCACATCCTCTTCTGAATCCAGCTTGAATTTCTGGCAACTCCCTGTCCATGTACTGCTGCGACCTGTTTTGAATTACCTTCAGAAAAATTTTACTTGCGTGCAATATTAACACTATTGTTCAAAATTTCCACACTCTGCTAGGTCCCCTTTCTTTGGAATGGGCACAAATATGGGTGGCTCTTTTCATGTCAGTCGACCAGGTTGCTGGCTTCCAGATCTCTTGACATGGAAGAGTGAGTGCATTTCAGTGCTTCATCAGCAGGTTGAAATAGTTCAGTTGGTCTCCCATTAATTCTTGGAGTTGTCTTCTGAATCCAGGAGGTTCACCATGCAGGGATCACTGGTCCAGAGAACTCAGCCAGCTTCTGGCTCTTGCTGATAAAGAGATCCTTTCTCCTGCTTTTCCCAGGGCTCATTTTATATGCAGTAGGATGGCACTCCAGGGGATCCTATTCATGTTTACTCACAGGTGAATCCTATCAGGATCTTCCCCCACCTCCCCCACCACCTTATCCGACCCATGCAGGTAACTGTCATTTGGTGGCTAGAAAAGCCACACTGTGTAACTCATTGCCCCTGGATTCGGGTGGGATGTCCTCAGAGTCGTATGTTGGCTCCTGTGCACTTCTTTTCATTTTCTTCAGCTTCAACCTGAACTTGGTTTGAACAGTTGATGGTCTGTTCCACAGTCAACCCCAGGCCTTGTTTTGGTTGGTGATGTTGAGCTTGTCCATCCTCTCTTTCA